GGAGGGAGGGAGGGAGGGAGGAAGGAAGGAAGGAAGGAAGGAAGGAAGGAAGGAAGGAAGGAAGGAGATTCAACCGTATCAGGTCCAGAGTCCACTTAGTTTCCCCATGAAGCTGCCTCATATTGAATCAGACCCTTAGTGGTCCATCAAGGTCAGCATTGTCTACTCAGAGTGGCAGCAGCTCTCCAGGTGTGAGTCTGCCACTCTTAACCACTACATCACGCTGGCTCTCTAACTAACACTCCTTACAGAACATTAATAAAAAATCACCCCAAGAGAAATAGGACACTTGGTTCGTGGAACACTTGAGTATCGACATTCCAGAACCACACGTTTCAAAGTTTCTTCTTTAGCATTTGAACAGGGAGGGTTGGGTTTTTTTGTAATGAACACACATGAAGCTACCAATCAGACCACTGGTCCACCAAGGTCAATATTGTTTACTCACATCACATACTACCTGATCCCTTTAACTTGAGCTGCCGGGGATTGAACCTGGGACCTTCTGCATGCAAAACAAATGATAATTACGTCACCCCTCCCTGCCACGTAATACACTTTGTCATGAATTTTTTTTTTTTATGACAACCACCACATTTGCATTCCTAACTCTATGGGCCCTTGAAGGCTCGCATGCTTGCCCCTTACCTGTCATAGGGTCAAACAACTGATTGGCCTCCAGGTCCGTGAAGGTGCTGAAGCAGATGGGACACCGGAAGGAGGCTCGGTTGGTGGAGTCTCTCTCGTCAGTCTCAATTCTCCTCCTCATGTGATCAAGTTTATACTTTATCACGTTGACCAGCAGGCGGTAGTTGATGAAATAGTAGTTGTGCCTGGTGGTTTTGCCATCAGGGGCGGTCTCCACTCTCATCCGGCATTTGATGAACTTGTCACCTTTGAGGGTGTTGAGAACGGCCCGCAGCTGTTTCCGGTCAAACTTGAGCAATTCCAACATGTCCTCCTCCTTGACGCAGGGATTCCGGATCAGAATGTCCAGAGCTAGAGCATGTTCTGTCCCATAGAAGCCCCTCACGACATACTTGGCGAGGCGCTTTAGAGCGGCAGGGACTTCAGTGAGAACGTCCGGGTCTGTCATAGCAAGTGTACTGTAATACAAACGGAGGTAAATTAAACAATCGTATAAAAATGTATTCCGTTGTCTGGTAGTTTTGGTTACGGAAAGTGGCTCGGCTCTCGTACAACACCAAGCCACGGTTTGGCATTTACTTTAGTGCTGCCCACGCCACCCCCATGATTCCTACATGCTCAGATTCCACTTCTCACCTCTTCTGAGGTAAATTGCGATTTGCCGTTATTTGTTTTTATTTTACGTAGAGCAGGCAAATTTGCCATTATTTGATTTATTTTATTTAGACTGATCTTCTTCTCTCTGGGTGTATCCTTGGAATTTTGATACAAGGTGGTGGGTAGAACCACAAAATGGCTGCCAAGGGGAGAGGAACCAACCACAAAATGGCTGCCATAAGAGGTAGAGCCAAACACAAAATGTCGGGGGGGGGGTGAGGTTATGCAAAACTTAACAGTAACTGTTCCAAGATTTCAGGCAGTAGTTCTGCTTAACAGGATGCCTTTTAAAATGAATGTCTTGTATTTTAAAAAAATGTCCTGCATACACACAGTTTACCTTCAGTCACACGGTGAAAGTCCTTATGCTGTGGTGGCAGCTCCTGCCAAAGCAATGTGCATAGCCAACATGAAGCCCTAAGAACATCAGAAGAGCCCTGCTGGATCAGTCCCATAATCCATCTAGTCCAGCCTCCTGTCTCACACAGTGGCCAACCAGGTCTTCTGGTGGGCCAACAACAAGGCAGAGAGGCTGAAGCCTTCCCTGATGCTGCTTCCTGTCTCTGGGATTCAGAGGCTGAGTGCCTCTTAATGTGAAGGATCCCTTCAATCACCATGGCTAGTAGCCATTGATGGACTTCTCTTCTATGAATCTGTCTCAACCTCTTTTAAAAGCTATTTATGTGGCCATCACTACCTCCACTGGTAGTGAATTCCACAGGTGAATTATTCGTTGAGTAAAAAAGTCTTCCTTTTAATCTGTCCTGAATATATTTGCCAATAGCTTCATTGGATGTCCTCAAGTTATAGAATTATGTTCTAGTATTTGTTTTAACTTTGTGTTCCATCAGATGTCCTGCACCTCCACAGTTTGAGACCCAGTGCCATAGATAATGCCATTTTTTTCAGTCAAGGCTGGCTAGGAATGAAAATATTAACACATTATTTTCCAGAGATTTTTCACTTTTGTTACTTTTATACCCACCAGAGTTAAATAGATAGCCTGATACTCCAAAGCACTATAAAGATGGGACAATTCACCAATAGCACGCTTTATGTATATCACATGATGAAAGCATGTTATGATGGTTATTTTCTCTTATACCAGACAGACCCCAAGCTCAGCAAGTTCAGACCACGTTAGCCTATACTTGGGATTTTTTTCTCCCAGTGTGCATCGCCTTAAACTTACCAACATCGGATTTCGTCTGCCACATTGTCACCCACTCACCCAGTTTGTGGAGGTCCTCCTGGAGTTCTTCACAGTCAGCCTAGGTTTTCACCATCCTGAATAAATTGTGTGTCATCGGCAAACTTGGCCACTACACTACTCACCCCTAGTTCCAGATCATTTATGAATAAATTACATAGGACCGACCCCAATACTAAGCTGAGTGAGTGTGAGCTAGCTCACAGTTTTTTAGCCTCCGGCTCACACGTCTTTGTCCTAGCTCAGGAAGGAGGGCTCCAGAGCAAACTAATTTATGCAGCAGCCAAATCACTTGCTCACAACTTGAACGCCAGCAGCTCACAAAGTAGGATTTCTGCTCACAAGACTCCACAGCTTAGAGGGAGCACTGCCCCCCCCCCCCCGTGGCCGGCAGGGGTTAGGGGTGGGGATAGTCCTCCTTGCACCAGTGGAAACACTAAAACCACTCCTCGCTATTGGCTGGTGGTTAAGCGGAAGCGTGCCTTTCCCCCGCGTGCAAGACACGGTGCAAGGTATTTCCGATGATGCAGTTTCAGAACTCCACAAAATGTGAGCCGTCTGCTGTACGTTCCACTGCTCCATTTGCACGTTCTTAACTTGTTAAAAAATGGTATTAGAGCACTGCGCGTTGCTGCAGCCCCTGTGCTACTGCCTGCGCGAGCGGAACGAAGTGCATTGCCCTTTCTGCTCACGCATCACCCGATCCGACACAAAGTGTAGAGAGATTCCCGGGGGGGCCACGTATGTGATTATTTCTGTACGAGCCGCTGGACCAAAGGAAAACATTATTACTGGTGGGGATAAGGAGGGAGGCGATTCTTCTTCACCGACTCTACCTCTTTGGCTGCAGTTTACACAGACTGAGGATTTCACGAATGAAAAGGGCACACATGAGACACTAATTTTAGCAGGCTACCTTCTTGGCAGCCGGTCCAGTGCCAAGAGTTTTCACCGGCCTGCCAGAGAAGATTTTCTGCCGAATCATCCTGCAATCTGTATTGCCAGCTCTGAGCTCTCGGCATCCCAGAGCGCTGCAATCAGAACTCATGGTCGCCACGACGACTGAAGGTTCACAGGCCACACATCAGAGCCCTGATAAATCTCCAGGGCTCCATCTGACACATCTTTGTGTCATCCACCAAATCCCATGCCTGACTCAACGACTGCTGACTCACCCCTGTCAATTAAGCTGCCTCTGAAATTTTCCGGGCTGTCTTTTATATAACAGCCACTTGTCTCTCTGCAGTGGGGGTGGGGGGTGGGGGAGATGCTAGGGGTACCTTCTTGAACAAAACTGAAATGCAAGGAGACTAGGGTGAGGGACGACGAGAAAGAGCCATTGGAATCAAGGCGGCTGTATTAACCCAAGGCACACGGGGACCTATGCTCCCTCTAGTTTGGTGTAGTGGTTAAGTGCGCAGACTCTAATCTGGAAGAACCGGGTTTGATCCTCCACTTGCACCTGGCCGGATGACCTTGGGCAAGCCGTAGTTCTGACAAGAGCTGTTCTTGAAAAATAGCAGTTTCTGTCAAGAGCTCTCTCAGCCCCACCTACGTCACAGGATGTCTGTTGTGGGGAGGGGAAGGGAAAGGAGTTTGTAAGCTGCTCTGAGACACCTTTGGGTAGTGGAGGGTGGGGTATAAATCCAATCTCTTCTTCTTCTCTTCTCTAAGCTGTGAAGTCTTGTGAGCAAAAATGCTACTTTGTGAGCTACTGGCATTACAGTTGCGAGTGAGCGATTTGGCTGCTGCATAAATTAGTTTGCTCTGGAGCCATCCTTCCTGAGAGAGGACAAAAAAAGAGTGCGCCGGAGACTAAAAAACTGTGAGCTGGCTCACATTAACTTAGCTTAGAGGGAACACTGACGGGGACTTCCCATTCACAAACTAAACTACTTCTGTCACACGAATGTGGGCAAAAAAACACCTCCCCCCCCCATTCATGTGCCAAAATCTGAACACAGCAGAGGTCATCCAGCTTTTAATTTCCAAGCAAATGGATCGCTCCATGCTCCGGCACATGCAGAGAGACAAGCAAATATCCATTTACCTCCAGCTGCAGCCTTCTATCTCTGAACGGGTACAATCCTGCCGAAGGCACACACGGCCCAACCTCTTTCCATGTCAGAGGTTTATGGCAACAGCTATAAAGTTTGTGGGTTCCCAGCTAATGAGTTAATAGAACCTTTATTTAGGACGCCGTTTAAGTTTAAATATAAGTGAAAGACGGATGATTTCAACTTGTCTGCCCGGTTGCTACGCGTGTCGTTCAAGCCATCCAGAGAAACAAGTCTACGTGGGCAGATGAGAGTCGCTTTTGTGCCCATATGACCGGTTGCATTACACCCTCACCAATTTCTAGCTAAAACCGGCCTCTTTGCCATTCAAGCATTCCACCAATGCAAGTGGTACTTTCAGAATTCAAGGGAAAATATGAACGACATCCCAAAACGTTTTGGACGATAGCCCTGTCGGTCTGCAGTAGAAGAGCTGGGTTCAAGTCCAGTAGGCACTTTAGAGACCACCAAGATTTTGGAGCAATGTGCTTTCGAGAGTCAGAACTCACTTCGTCAGATAACAAAAACCTTGGTGGTCTCGAAGGTGCCAAACAGGAATCAAATCCAGGCCTTCCAAAGGACTAGTCTCCCACCTTCTTTCGGACTTCAAGGGAAAATATTAACTGTTTCTGATGACAGCCCTGTCAGTCTGCAGTAAGGCAGCTTATTTCGGGTCCAGGAGGCACCTTAGAGACCAACAGGATTGCTGAGAGTCTAACCCAGGGGTGTCAAACACAAGGCCTGGGGGCCGGAACCAGCCCATCCAGGGCTCTTACCTGGCTCTTGAGCAACTGGGATGTAAGGAAACATAAGATCCTTCCCCTTTTATGGCATCCCTTGGAAAAAACCTTGCATTTATGTCAGATTCAGCCCTTGTAACACAGGAGTTTGACACCTCTGGTCTAACCTCGAGTTCTGTTACTTTTGGAGTTACGCATGACTTCACCTGAAGAAGAAGAAGAAGAAGGAGGAGGAGGAGGAGGAGGAGGAGGA